CATCAGAAAATATGTAGTGATTTTTAATTTACCTTGTTATCAAATAACTTAATTATGTACTCAGAAAATGTGGTCTGATTTTTAAAAATTAACTCATCTTTCTTTATGAGCTTATACAAGATCAATTTTTTTTGTAAATGTTCTGTCTATGCTTGAGAAGAATGTGTACTCTTTCTGCTGGAAGCAGAATTCAATATATGTCCGTCAACTCAAGCTTGTAGTGTTCTATCTAAATTTTTCTGACGTTTTTTGTTTGCGTGACCTAACAGTAATGTAATGAGGTGTTGAAACCTCCCTCTGTAACAGATTTGTCTAATTCCCCCTGACAGTTACTTCAACTTTTGCTTTGTTTCCGAGCTACTTTTTTGATTGCATATATATTTTAAATTATGTCTTCTTGATTAATTGGATTTTTTATGATTATATGATGACCTCTATTCCTAATGATGGCATTTACCTTCCAATTTATTTTGCTTATTTTAATATAGCTACACAAATTTTCTTTTGGTTAGTGTTTGTCTGATCTTTTTCTACCCCTTTACTTTCAAACTGTTTAGGTGACTGTCTTAGTCATCTAGTACTGCTGTAACAGATAGACCACAAGTGGATGGTTTTAACAAAGAGAAGTTTATTTCCCTACTGTAAAGTAGGCTTGAAGTCCAAATTCAGTGTGTCAGCTCCAGGGGAAGTCTTTCTCTCTCTGTCGGCCCTCTCATCAAAATCTTTACAACCTTGGGTAGGTAAAGATTTCTTAGAACACAAAAAATGCAAACCATAAAAGCAAAAAAAGACTAGGCGCTTCTCTGCACAGGGACCCCGGTCCAGAAGACACGCTCTGCTCCCGGCACTGCTTTCTTGATGGTATGAGGTCCCCAACTCTCCGCTTGCTTCTGTTTTCTTTTATCTCTCACAAGAGATAAAAGGTGGTGCAGGCCACACCCCAGGGAAACTCCCTTTACATTGGAACAGGGATGTGACCTGGGTAAGGGTGGTGTTAAAATCCCACCCTAATCCTCTTTAACATAAAATTACAATCACAAAATGGAGGACAACCACATACTTCTGGGAATTGTGGCCCAGCCAAATTGATATACATTTTTAGGGGGCATAATTCAAACCATGACAGTGCTTTTACTTAGTTACATCTATTATAAAAAGCATATTTTTTTTTTAACTTTCAGACTTAGATAATCTCCTTTAATTGGCAAGTTTAGTCCATTTATACAAATGTTTGCACTTTTTGCTATGAATTTTCCCATTTACTTTATTTGTCCTGCTTTTTCTATATTAGTTGATGGCTATTTCCTGCTTGGATGTTATAACCTAATTCTTTTTGTTTATTTGGATGACATTCTGGTGCCATATGCTATTTTCCCAACATGGAGAAGGTATAAAAAAGAAGAAAAAAGAAAAAGAGCAGTGGAATAGGGCGAGAAACTAAGGTAGAGTTTTAGTTGTGCTACGAACTTGCTGTGTGACGGAGTACATTTCAGTTGACTTCTATGGAAGTTTTTTCTCTCTTTAAGTTCTGAGTTTGAATCAGCAGTCTGAGAGTCCTCCTAACTCTTGGGTTCTCTATTCCCAAGCCTGAGTGATCACTGGCTCTTGGTGTGTGAAAGACCCCAGGGCAGCTGTAAACTGAAGTTTGCTTCTGGACTAAGAGCCTCTTCATGCATGGTTCAGGTTAGCCAGCGCATAGTGTTCCTCTTCACAGCACTGGGAAAGTTTTAGACTCAAGTAGCATTATGAGAAGGAGCCCAGAGCCACAAGAAAAAAAACAGTATGTTGATAATTCAGTTTTACGTCCTTGTCCAGAATCTGCTGAATCATAAGTTTCATAATCATGATCAGTAGAAGTGGATGTGTTGACACAAGTGTAAGTGGTTATTTTATATATTTTTTAAAAAGCTTTACTGAGGTATAATTGATGTACAATAAGCTGCACATATTTAAAGTATATAATTTGATGAGGTTTGACATATGTATATACCTGTGAAATGATCATCAGTCAAGACAGTGAATTTATAACTCCAAGTTTTCCTCCAGGTTCTTTGTAATCCCTCCTTCCCTCCATCTCTGGGCCCAGGCAACCACAAAGGAGAAAGGATAGTCTTTTTTCAACAAATGATGGTGAAACTGGATATCCACATGCAAAAAAAAAAAAAAAAAACTCAACTCTTACCTCCTGCCATATACATATAACTCAGACTGTCTGATAGGCCTAAACCCAAAAACTAAAATGACGAAACGTATAGAATAAAACAGAAGAAAATCTTCACAGCCTTGGGTAGGTAAAGACTTCTTAGAACACAGAAAGTGCAAACCGTAAAAGAAAAAAAAAATAAGGCTTCAATGAAATAAAGAGCTCTGGATCTTCAAAATATTGTTAAGAAGATGACGACAAGCCACAGGTTTGGAGAAAATATTAGCAAACACATATCTAACAAAGGATTTCTATCTTGAATATATAAAGAACTCTGACAGCTCAATAAGGCAAAAAAAATCAATTAAAAATGAGTTTTTGAACAGTCTTTACAAAAGACATACAAATGGTTGAGAAGCACCTAAAAACATGTTCAATGTCATTAGTCATCAGGGAAACAAAAATTGAAGTCATAGATTGATACCACTACATACTCATAAAAATGGCTAAAATTAAAAAGACTAGCAATACCAAGGGTTGGCAAGGATGTAGACCAAGTGGAACGCATACATTGTTGGTGGGAATATAAAATGGAGCGTCTTAGGAAGTTTCCCAGTTTCTATGTTAAACATACACTTAACCATGTGACTCAGCAATTCCACTCCTAAGTATGTACCTTAAAGGAATAAAAACACGTCCACATAGACTTGTACAACAAATTGTGGTATAACCATTCAAGGAATCACTAGGCAGCAATAAAAAGGAATGGCTACTGATAATGTTCAACAACACGGATTAATCTCAAAAACATCATGCTAAGAAAGCAGTTGGACACAAGAGTATATACCGGAGGCAAATCTGCAGAGACAGAAAGTGGGTCTAGAGCTGGAGTGGATAGAGGCATTGGGGTAAATAAAAAATATTGTATTTATATGAAACTCTCTTGTTAGGTGTTGTTGAGTCAATTCCAGTTCATGGTGACCCCACGTGACAGACTAGAACTGCCCCATAGGGTTTTCTTGGCTGTAATCTTTACAGGAGCAGATTGTCAGGTTTTTCTCCTATGGAGCCACTGGGTAGGTTCAAACCACCACCCTTTTGGTTAGCAGCTGAGTGCTTCATCATATGAAACTCAGAAAGAGACAAATCCATTCTACAGTGACAGAGAGCAGATCAGTGATTGCCTGGGGATGCGGATAGAAGGGAATTGAATAGGATGGAGCACAAGTGAACTTTTTGGGGTGATGGAAATATCTTGATCGGGGTGGTGGTTACATGGGTGTATAAATTTGTCAAACCTATTTAAATATATAGTTAAAATTTTATTGTACTCAAACCATACCTCAATAATGTTTATCACAAAAAGTAAAGAGAGGTCCAGAACCAAAACTAAACCAAAACCAGTAAGAGTGGTTGCATATTTATTGAATTTGTATTAGGTTCTATGCAGAGCTATGTAAAATTTTAATTGTGGTAAATATATAAGTAACGTTTGCCATTTTAATAATCTTCACATGTACAGTTCAGTGACATTAAATATGTTAATAATGTTGTTCAGCCATCATCAACTCTTCCCAAATAAAATAATTTTTGACGTATTCAACAAATTGCCCTGAAAACCTGAGGTGTTCTAGGAAAACTGAAAACACAAACTATCAGAATTTTTTATTCAAATCATTAAATATTATACCTGAAAAAAACAATCTACATAGTATGTAGTCATTATTATGGAAAAAAGGAGGTAAATCCCAAGTATGAGCCAGTTTCCAAGTTTACTTCAGAAAAAATACTAACCACCTCCCCCCCCAGAAAAAAAACCTAAAAGGATGGGAATATCCTAAAATAGGAATTTATAAAACTTTCATCATAGTGATCAATTATTAGTTACCAAATAACTTTTTTCTTTTTTTATTGTACTTTAGGTGAAGGTTTACAGAGCAAACTAGCTTCTCGTTAAACAATTAATACACGTATTGTTTTGTGACACTGGTTGCTAACCCCATGACATGTCAACACTCTCCCCTTCTCGACCTTAGGCTCCCCATTACCAGCTTTCCTGTCCCCTCCTGCCTTCTGGTCCTTGCCCCTAGGCTGGTGTGCCCCTTTAGTCTCATTTTGTTTTGTGGGTCTGTCTAATCTGTGGCTGAAGTGTGAATCTCAGGAGTGACTTCACAATTGAGCTAAAAGGGTGTCTGGGGACCATATTCTCAAAGTTTCTCCAGTCTGTCAGGCCAGTAAGTCTGGTATTTTTTTGTGAGTTAAATTTTGTTCTACATTTTCTTCAGCTTTGTCTGGGACCCTCTATTGTGATCCCTGTCAGAGCAGTCAGTGGTGGTAGCTGGACACTGTCTAGTTGTGCTGGACTCAGTCTGGTGGAGGCTGTGGTGGTTGTGGTCCATTAGTCCTTTGGACTAATCTTTCCCTTGTGTCTTTGGCTGTCTTCATTCTCCCTTGTCCCAGATAGGGTGGGACCAGTGGAGTATCTTAGATGGCCGCTCACAAGCCTTTAAGACCCCAGACACTGCTCATCAAAGTAGAATGCAGAACACTTTCTTTATAAACTATGTTATGCCAATTGAGCTAAAGTTCCCCGAGACCATGGTCCCCCCAGCCCTCAGCCCAGTAATTTGGTCCCTTAGAGAGTTTGGATGTGACTATGGAGCTTCCATGACCTTGCCTTGGACAAGTTGTGCTGGCTTCCCCAGTATTGCCTACTGTCTTACCCTTCACCAAAGTAACTACTTATCTATCGTCTATTTAGTGTTTTTACCTTCCCACCCCTCACTTCCCTAGTAACCAACAAAGATTGTTTTTTTGTGTAAATCTTTTCATGAGTTTTTATACTAGTGGTCTCATACAAAAATATGAATGCTTCACAAATTTTCGTGTCATCCTTGTGCAGGGGCCATGCTAATCCTCTGTATTGTTCCAATTTTTCATAAATGTGCTGCTGAAGCAAGCACTGCCAAATAACTTTAGATGTAGAAACATTAACCATGTTTGCTCAATATACAATGAACCAATTGGGGAAACAACATATTAATAGAAACAAACACAACTTGCCTTCAAGATTTACATAGTTCTGTGCACAGAATCTAATACAATTTCCTCCTTATTTTGAATGAAACACCTAAAAAATAAAATTCTTAAGATGGCAGACAGGAGTTCTGGCAAAATGGCGCTCTAGGCAGAAGCACCACGCTGTCCCTCCACAGCAAAGATCCGAAAAACTAAGCCGAACAGAGAATACAACAATCCTGAAACCCTAAAACATCAAATGAAGAGATAAAGAACTCAGCCAACCACCAAATGGACTGAGAAAACTGACTGACAACGGAGAGTGAGGAGAGATTCATGCAGAGGTCCCCTACCAGCTAACACAGCGCGAATCCACCATCTTGGACTCCTATCGGAGATCAGCAAACAGGGGTACTAGAAAGCAGCCTCACGGAGCATCCAGCGGGAGACATAACAACCGGTAGTTTGCGGTGTGCGCTTTCCCACCCCCCACCCCTCTT